CCGGGCTAAATATATCCGACAGACATTTATGCAAGTTACCTCTCAGGAACTTGTTGCTGTTTGTGTCGGAGTTTTCCTGCACTGATGAGAGGTAATACCTCAAAACAGTCTGTAGGTGATCTACTCGATTGAATTCAGCGTGGTATGAGATGAACAAAATGCATTTGAAAGACTACCCTTTATGACGTAACTTCCATTAATGCCTGCCGGATATATTCAATGTCCATCGTGGTATTAGACAGAGAAGTAGTTGTTTTCTGGCAGGAATTAACCAGAACTTATTGTGTAGGTACGTACGAAATATTAATTTTTTATACGTATTTATCTTTCCTCGATACAGTCATCAGACTCATTTCAATTTGTATTATTATTACATTTTTGTCATACCAAATTTGAGGTATATGTGGTTAACGGAAAAATTGCAGATAAGAATTTGAGATATTTTTGTTTGGATTTTCCAACCGTCGATGATTGCATCATATCGGTGCCACGAAGTATTTATGATTTCCTATACGGGAACCTCATATAATCCAAGCCATATTTGTTCAAAGTGTTTAATTATGATTTAGGCGCCATTGCTCTTTATCTATGCCTTATAAAACCCTTATCTCTATTAATTATTCTCGATTTTTAAATGATTTATTTTACAATACGTTAACAGGTTATTATAATATTTACTAATGTTTCTTCTTTATTTTTCAGAAAAATATCTGATATGAATATGATACTGTTGACAATATTTATCATAATTTTGTTTGCTCAATTATAAATTGTACCTTAAACATAATTTATTTATAATATATCTGGTATAGTGACTGCGATCTGATTTCAGTTATCTCAATATTGTTAAAGATGAAACAGTGAAGTTAGCTGAAAGACAACATGTCTCATCAAGACAGAGTGAGTTCCAACTTCATCAAATATTTACATTTTTCGTGAACCCGTGAAAAATACAGAAATGGTGTCATTCGAATTTAATCCTTGAAACTGAAAACTTTAAATCAGTTGACATCATGGAACACGATAAAATAATGTTTCAATATCACTATCAACCGACTTCTGGATTAAAAATTTTGTCTTTCAGAAATCACATTCAAATCCATGAGGATTTCGTGTCATATAACCTTAAATAATCTCTCTTGACCCATTTAGGTTATCCATGCCATGTCAGTTTATTATTGTAAAAATGCCTGATGGTTTTCATTCAAGCTATTTTCATTTCCACTTATGATCATTGATTAACGCAGGTCGTAGTGATTCATATTTTCTTCAGTGCTTTTTCTCACTACCAGGTTTTTATTTACTCGCTTTTTATTTCTATTTTCAAACCAGGTTCCAGATGGGCTTGATACTTAAAACGTAGCTCATAACTGTAAATCAATGCAATGATAAGTGAAAAACAAACAACCAGATTATACCAGAATGCAAAAGCTTTGCACTCGTGATCCAGTAGTAGACAGGAAAATCAAACCAAACATAATAAAGTTAACGAGTTTCCAAAAGAGGTCCATTGCAAACCCAACCTTCGACTTTTGTAGGTTTCACTGCGAAAATGCATCTGATTGATACTATATCCCAAAGGCGTTGGTATTGATGCAACATTTCACTCTTCTGTTAACCACAACAACCCTGAAAAGGACAAGGCGATGACATCGACATATGCAGGTTACACTGCAAGCATGCAACTGGATGATATCAAAGCTCAACATATTTGCATTCGTTGATATTGTAACAGATAGCGCTGCTTATTTGCCATAGTTCATAGAGTCAACGAACGCCTTTGAAAGCCTCGTTCGATTTGATTGAGAGGTGTCAGTGTCATTTCCTGGAAAAAATGTAATATAATAATGGTGAATAATAGTGGTGGTAGTTATGGTTAAAAAGACAGTAAAGTACAGGAAAATGACCAAAAACGACAAGATCAGCTTCAACGGGAATCGGAAGCAAAAGAGTTTACAAGATTATCCAATCGCCATAAGCAAGCTAAGGAAATGCAGAAACACATTTGCAATGTTGAACTCGCGAATACCAAAGAATGAATGGCTGAAATAAGATTGATCAAGACTGAGGACGCACATTCCTCTTGACTCTAGGAACTGAACATGACGACGTCTCTCCAGAGGATATTTCAAGTCGCTTGAGCCGAGTCACTTGGTCTAGTTTTCTTTGGAGTGTTATGTTAATGTTTTATTTTGTATATCGGTTCCTTGATGGTTATTTATGTCTGCTTTCGAATGTAGAATTTCAATAGTAGTATTGCTTCCCAATTCATAAGAACCGTTCACAAACGAGCTTACCTCTGAAAATATTTCCGGAATGAATTCAGATATCAAAGGCTTATGAATCCATCGGAATTTCGGGGCATGCAGAGCACACGTCGAACCGGCAGTCGTTCCCCGAAACACTTCTAAAACCACCACCGACATTTTTAATTGAATATCTCGTAACACCAAAGTGCCAAATGATTAAAAACAATCATAAAAAATGGCATCGAGCTTTGGTAGCAATGACTTATGAAAAAAATCGCCTTTGACTCACCCCACGTACAGCGGACCAGTCGAATATTCCTCACTTATCACAAATTAAAGCCGCAAGACTTGGCGCAGTCCATTGGAAATATGCGATTTTTTGTTTTGAACGCCAATAAATTAACTTTGTTATCACGAACTTGTTCAGCGGTAATCTGCGACTTACGTCGTCGATCAGGACCTCGTTGCGTCGAGTTGAACCGAACGCGGTATGTCTGGGATTAGCAATGCCGAAGCGGAGATATGCAAAAACATCTACCCTTGTAAGGTATCGGTTTGAATTATTGTTTTAAATATATCACCCCGGAAATTCCCTTCTGTTCGATTTTATTTTTTACTTTTAATAGCCCGGATTATAAAACTAAGGGTTCCAAGCCAAAAAACAAATGAAATATGTCTTGGGATGAGATGGAAAGGTTTTTCACCATTTCCAGATTATTATCTGAATGCTGTAGGCTGAGAGGAATTACCGAGTCTTTGGATCTGATAATTCTGGCAAAAAATAATGTTGACATCGTCGATGTTAAACAATCCTACTTTGGGAGAATGTCACTGGAAATGAGTAGACTACTTTCGACTAGAATACTTTTTTTGCGTAACGTTTTCGAAACATTATTTATTGTTAATTTCGATGATTTATTTGAAACATACTCACTTCCTCTGGCGAAGACAAACACGGGCGTTCTACCAATCATCAATGATTTTTTATATGGTATTTTACTTTGAAAGAGATAATTATTTCCTGCTTCAAATAATGAAGAATGATATGGCAGAAATTGACAGATACTAATGAAAACTCTACTTAGATAATGCGAAAGAATGAATTATTTCTGCCACAGAGGGATGGATGTACTTGATTCAAAGTATATCTTTTTTTCTAAGTCTATAAAATATTTTCACAACGAGTTTTCATTAATATGATATGAATGTGATCAGTTGGGAGCCGGATGGTAGTCAGCTCGTCTAAAGAAATCACTACTTCTGTGAATGCGAGTTCGATCCCCGTTTTAGGACTCAATGAATGACTTTTATGCTAATATCTAAGCGAGTGTGTTTGGTATGTTCATTCGTGTGGTCATGAGTTGGAGTTTATATAGGTCATTCCTTGCGCTCCCTCTTCCCTTTCGAACTTTATTCCATTCCAATAATCTGGTAAAAACCTTGACATTGTTGGATTTGAATAATTGGAAAACAACAATTTGTGAGATGAATTTTCAATAAGGATGGTCAAGATATGAACCCTGTGGGACTCAGTAACACCCCTCATACTAGAGTAGCCGTGAAAGTTCTGCGAAATCACAAAAGAAGCCAAATGAATCAAGTTTGTGATTGAGGATTTCAAAATGGATCTCATCGAAGGCTTTCTAAGTCAAAGAAAATGAGGTATTTTGTCGAATGCATCTGCAGATGATCAAATCGAATGGAAAAAGTTCTTTCAGTTGAATTATGTCGACACTTATTCTTTGTGGATTCATAAACTTGGTGGTAAGCCAAGAAATATAAGGACTAGATTGAGATTTGAGATTTTTCTGTGGTTTTTACATAAGTGATTGACATGGTGCTCTGCTTGGTCTTCATAAGTTTCTCAAATACTACTGAACTCCTTTTCTCGAAAATACCGGATCTTAGGTATAGGTGTTTGTTATTTTTTCCGAATCTTCGAGAAGGTATTCCATTCCAATTAATACGGACATAAGGTGTGTCTATTCTATTGGGAAAATTCCAATGACTAAGTCTTTGAATCAACAGCATGCTTGTCATTTCCAAAATATGTTTATCCCCTTCGTGAAATTCATATTAGACCTTTAGATTTTGAATGTGATTCGTATGTGTTTTCATTCAATAGCAGGTAATATTAGTAGCCGGAAAGTACTCTAATATAATTGAAGTTTCGACCTGAAAAGTCGATAGTTTTCTCATGAACTACCCATTCACATATCAGACTACTAAAAATATTAATTCATATTAAGTAATCGAAAGCTAAGGAACGATACCCAGAAAACATTCTGCGACCTCTTATGCATAATTCCTTGGTTAAATCGATTCCTTGAAAATATCATTCACTATATTTAATCGTTGATATCGTAGTATATATACATCCTGCGAAACATTTCTCAATTAATCGGGCAAAAGGGGTTCGTTCTACCCCACGAAATTAATCAATGCATCTGTATTTCACCTATAGGGGTTGGATTAATATAATGTCTTCATTTTCCTGAAGCAATTGATTGATTTTGAATGCTACGTCATCACTAATTCTAACTTTGTGAGGAAAGTTCCACCGTAAAATTATATTAAGATTTGAAAGGGAAACTTATATCGATTAAGCGGGGGCTGCGTATACAGTTTGAGTCATAAAGTTTTCATGAAAACTTTATTCCAACAATAGTTGATATGACCTGCAAAAAAAAACTAACAACAAATGAAACCGTTGAACTGTATTCAAGAATCCATTAGATTTTTTCTTTCCAGATCAACCAACTCTTGGAGGAAGTTCAGAGGCTTCAAGGATGTCTGTCTAAACTCCAAGAATCATCTATGTCACAAATCAACCGTTTAGAAGATCAAATAGAGCAAAAAAGACAACACATACTGAGACTCGAAAACAAATTAGATTTACAGAAAGATTACGAAGAATTAAAAAGGGAAATTAGGTATGTCGAATTTTTTTCCCAGAAAACTGTGTCTTTTCTCAAATACGCTGAGCAATAAATTAAACATTTTTCTTATCTCCAGTGTGTGTGGTTATACAATTTATTGTATTATTTATATGACTATCATTTTCAAATATGTGAACGCTGAAGAGTCATTGTATGTCTCATTTGTGGTTTTTCTTATTTCTTGCAGTATTCTACGATCAGACTTCACGAATAATCCGGACGGAAAAAGTATCGAATTACTTTTAGAAAAATCTAAATCCTCATCGCAGGAAATAAGAGACAGATCACCATCGAGAGACAGTGAAGGTATGTCTAACTCTTTTTTTTTAACTCGCAATCAATAATTCCTTCTCCTAATAACGTTCAGTTCTAGTTACAACTCATAATATTATCTTAATAATAACACAACAATATGTTTCACACATTGTTTATCGTCACTCACGGAGGTGATTTTTCATTAGGCGAAACTCTTTCCAAACGACACGTAACCTCTTTTTCACTTCAGCAGATATTTTAAAAAGGTTTATTGCCTTAAGAAACTAATTTATTATTGCTTGATCTTGTGAAATTTCGTCTTTATTGTTTTTATTAACAATTGAATGGCAGATTTCGTCACCATGAGAACCATTTGATTATATTTTTTACGAAACTTGAACTAGTTTCATTCTAGAGGAAAATAAATTTGAAACGTTTTGTCAATCTTGCCAATGCCTCGTTTCGACTGATGTGAAAACGTAATGACTTTTTATTGCTTCCTCATGGAATCGCAAGAATGACCTGAATTATTTCTATCTATTTGAAAATCTACCTGATTTTGATTTATTATTTCCTCTTTTAACGCTTCAGAGCATGTATCTAATTATGAATAAGGATTAATTATTGTGTTATGTTCATGAATTATGTTGAATATTTTTGGGAATCTTCTGTGGCCCGGTAACAGTATCGAACAATAAGATCTTATCGTAAGCTTTGTAAATCTTTTTTTACATTCTAAATTATTGTTAAATTACAGTCATAAAAATCATCCTTGTTCACGATTTCGACACTAAGCAATAATCATTATAATTGTTTCATATATGATGCTCATTCACCACTTTCATTTCTAATTGCTCTTCCAAACACAAACAGTAGGTCACATCACACATCGAACCATATTCAATCTGTTTCAGCATATTCGAAATTTGTTTCTCTACCTCAACTATTTCTGTCAAGTGAAATTCATATGAATAGGATTGTTTTCTCATTCCACATAATTTTTAACCAACAAAAACTTCATATTCATTCTGTAATTTATTCACTGAAGGAAATTCCTTGCTATATCTCCCAAGTCAAATGACTTAATTAACAGAAAGAAGTTATAGAAAAAATCACGATCTTAGAATAATATGCATATTCAAGCAACAGCTGTAAAATATCCAACCTCATTAAGAAATCTCACAAGCGAATATTGAATTTGTTTACTCTTGTCAAAATTCCTAGTAGCTACTACGATCCCACCATTAAATCTATTTTAATTCCAGCTGCTGTCCGCATGATAATTTCAGCCCAAGAATTATAGCAATTTTATAGATACCCTAAGTTGAGAGGTACTTAATCATCATATGAACATCTATAACATCTAAATGAATCTAAAATGATTGGACAATTGAAAATTTCATGGCTAACTTCAAATTTATGAACTCCTCCTCTGTTACCTATCGAAACCTCTTCACTCCATCAATTCCATCCATTATACCTTCTATCTGTATGATGATTTCCTTTTTTTCTAGGGGTTGATCAACTTCACTCGCAAACCCCTAACCTCTCTGACATCTCTCCCAATAACCTCCCTCCGCCCTTCCATAACGTTGACGCGTTTGGTAGTATACTCGGCGAAGAAATTGTTTCTTCATGGAGAAGGAATATTGAACACAATCGAATAACGCCAAAATCACCCTCTGCTTCTCTAGATGGGCCTCTGAAAAGTTCCACCCCGGTAAACGCAGATTCCACGGCAGAAAAGAGCACTGCGTCGACACCTCAACCATCCGATCAATTGTGCCATCAATCGCCAGGTGAGAACTTGATGAATGGCAATCCGAAAAGTCCACAGGAAGACAACAACAACCACCACGTCAGTAACAACAACATTCCGCTGAGCGCAATATGCGCTGTCAACAGTTTCCTAAGGAATGAAGACAGCCTGAAGAGCCCTTACAGGTTCGAAGACCATCATCGATCGCCGTTCAAGTTCGCTGAAGATTTAGGAATGGCTCCTGGCTCGATGGTTGGGAGGTTAGGAGAAAGCCTAATCCCGAAGGGCGATCCGATGGAAGCCAAACTGCAGGAGATGCTGAGGTACAACATGGATAAATACGCCTCACAAAACTTAGGTGAGATCTCTTCAAACTTGATTTTGTTTTAACATTTGTCTAAACTTTTTCTTCCATCCACAGATACTCTCCATATAGCGAGGAGGGTGCGGGAGCTGCTGTCCATACACAATATTGGCCAAAGATTGTTCGCAAAGTACGTTTTAGGATTGTCCCAAGGGACTGTTTCCGAGCTTCTGTCGAAACCGAAACCTTGGGACAAATTGACGGAGAAAGGAAGAGACAGTTACAGGAAGATGCATGCCTGGGCGTGTGACGATAATGCCATCCTCCTGCTGAAATCATTGATACCAAAGAAAGGTAAGACTTCGATTCTTCCCATACTTCTTTCACTAATTTTCCAAACGTCATTGTTCTTTCTATTTCTCCATTATGTATTAAAAAAACGCTTAGGCAAAATCTGTAGAAGCTTCTCAAAAGTAATGATATGTTCTACACAGGAAAAACGACAGACATATCGTAAAATCTTCAATTGATTGAAACGAATTGCTGTCGACTAACAGCGATACAGAACCATAATATATGAAAATCAGCATTATCCAATATTTCTTGACGAATTATTTCCACGAACGCTTCAATATTTCCATGTCTATAAAAATACTTCACTTTTCAAATAGCTACAGAGAAAATAGTTCATTGGAGACCGACCACTCAGTAGGTTTCTATGTGTCAATCCACTGATTAGTTAATATATTATAGCAAAAGCAAAAGCAAAATATATGGATGTTGATAACGTACAATTCTTGTACCATTTGCACACCTTTATAAAAAGAACATCAGAATATCTATATAAACAAATAGTCCCAATGTACATAGAAGAGGTACTTTAAAAGTTGAAACGTCATAGTTGCGGTGGCCACCCTTAAAGGGTTGAAATTTGTATCTCTTAATGGCAGCTTAATAATAAAAATCGATTTTCCCTAACAGTTTCTTGAAAAATCTTCATCATTGATTTTATAGAACGTATTTCTCACTTTTGCGAAGCACTGTATTGATGGAGAAGTAGAAAACCAAAATGTTTTCCAAACATTAATCTATCCACAGAATAGTTGTTTTTATAAATTTCTGTTGAAATGGGACGTTTGAAATGCAAAAGGTAGAGATTTTGCAAATATTCACTTCCATTCATAAGTTGTTATTGTGCCCTAATAAACTACTAATATAATTTCAATGCAAGTAGCAATTTGTAATAAAACGAGCATAGCTTAAGTAGTTTCATTGTTATATCTCACCGACGATCATCTCTCGATCTCGATGCACGTTTCAATAAAAAAATTACGTATTTGGGAAATAAGAAGCAGCTGCAATCAAGACTAATTATAGGCATTTAGCTTGAATATAGTGTCTGGAAACGAAATTAGATATCATATTGTGTTTATCGAAAAAAATACGGGGTCAATTATAAATATGTAATAATAAATAATTCATAAAACGCCAATTATACCTATAGACCGTATAGCATTTATTATATTTCCATGTTAAAATATAATTTGAGATTAGTTGTGAACTCATGAATCATTTCCTGTCATTCAGCCGGGACTAAATTGGTTTTGAGAAACGTTTATCATGAAAAACCAACGAAATTATCCTATTGATAAATATATTTATATCCGTGTATGGATCATTGGAAAATGTCGGACCAGATTGAAATAAACTGGTACTTAGTGGTTTTATACAATGAGTACAGTTTCTGAACTTTACAAATGTACAAACATGAACTTTTACTGTTTACTGTTGAAGATAAAAACATAACCTGCAAATGACAATTTTTTTGTTCAAACTTTCGGGACTTTTATGAGCTCTTCTTCGGGAAATGAAAAGTGAAGTTCTATAATCCAAGCGGCAAAAACATTTGGGGTTTTGAAAAACATTACTGGTAGATGATGAAAAAACACTATGACGTCATGTCCATCATGGCCATCAAAATGGTACATAATCATGTACTCTGCTTGGTAGATGAACTTTGAAAGTTTCAAGTTCACAAGCAACATTTTTTAGATATGGTGACAATATTGGACTAGCAGTATAAAATTGCAAGTGATGCTGGCAATCAGAGTAAACCATACGTTACGTATTATCAACAAGAAGAAAGAAAAATCTAATAAGGAGACGGGAGCCCATGTAAAAAAAATCGGATGCAGGGCTGAGGATGCTATTGCCGAAAGTAAGTGGCTCTAAAGAAAGCAGAAGGCCACCTTTCAAAATCTATGGTGCTCTATGTAGAACCCTCTAGAAGCAAGTTAAACAGGATCACAGGAATACCCCACTGAGGATCCAAAGATAATGGCGTTACTTATGATCAGTGAATACAGCAACTCGACGGTCATGGAAAACTAGCAAGAAAAGGCTATCTCATTTTTTTTTTCTATCATATTGAATTATGAAGAAATCACATTTTCCATTTAGGTACTATATCTAAACAGTAGAATAAACATAGAATAACGTTTCAGCTAGATTCAACTTATTACGACAAAAAAGTAACCTCAATCTGATAATTTCAAAACTATTGTTCGAATACTTCTCACGAATTGCAAAATTTCAACCTTATAATGATTCATATAATGTATGCCAAACGGATTTTTTTTGTTTTCTCTCAACACTTAATCTGGATGTGCTCTGAATAGTTTCCATTTATTTATTGTATGAAAATACCAAACACAAAACAATAAGTAATTAGGAATTAGACTGTTTTAATTATAGAAGAGATTAACGTTCCTAAATCTACCGTTAAAAGCATGTCTCATGTGCTACTGAACGAAGATAAGAAAATTGATAATTTTGTCTCTTCAAAATTCTAATGTGTGTTGACTTACAAATATTCTAACTGTGTATACGCATCGAGTGATTCTGAAAGTGCTGATAGATTAAGGAAATAATCATTTATGAAATTACTTGCGATTATTATTATTTGAAAGTATATTGGACAAACTGAAAAGCTATAAAAAGTCGTTTCATGGAACACCTGGCAAATATGCAAATTCAGATCATTCTATTGCCTAGCATGCCCTTGAACAAAAATATGCAATGAACAACAACACTCCTATGTCCTCATTTTTGTAAACGATATTAATTTTTTTTCACACACTTCGTTCTACTAATAAATTTATAATAATACATCAGTTGATGCGTATTTCAATTCACAAACAAGGTAAAATGATTAGTTAATTCAATTAAACAGGAAACTAAATTGTTGAACCGCGTTCTGTAAACGATCATGAATCACATCCGAAAATAACAAATTCACTCCATGATGCACACCCTATACATATTTACAATGGAAAACTTCCGTTGATATTTGCAATGAAATAAATAAATTTTAGAACCTGCAAAAAATTAACTCCCTAATTTGTTTCGTACTGTCTTTTGAGTTCGTTTTGTTGGTTCATTTTGTGTATATGTAAAAATAGTATTTCATAACTTTGCTTTGAGTTAAATTCCTTTGTAAATCCGATTTATTTTTTTTTAATCAGTTACCAATCCCTAGGTCCGTTTCTCACGTCGACCATTATAAAATAATATTTGTCTACTAAAAACTGAATCTTGAACAATCACGAAGTTCAAAGTTCTAATCTTTGCTAATACCTATGTTTAATGTGGACTGTTTTGATATTACACAGCCCGCTGTACAGCTTTATACCATTGTGTTGTGTAGCATAAATCTATGGAAAATCGTTATTTCGCCAATGAATATAAACTTTGTAGCGCTTTCATGGCACCTTCGATTGTATCAGAGTATTATAAAAAAGTTTTTACGGCATTTTCAGTTTTTACACATGCAACACTTAACACGCGAATGAATCAGTTCGATTTAAATTGTTTTTCTATACACGTTGTACCGGGTTGCCTTTCTCCATTACCTACCAATTATATAGACGTCTCTTTCCCTCACATGACGTTTGCGAAAGATTAATTGAAATAGTCTCATTTGAATATTGTTTTAGGGGCATATTCTTTCAAGAAACGTATTATTTCAATCGATTGCTTCCAAGCAATCGATCAGTCTTTCCTTTTCCTTTTGTAAGAGTTGTTGGATGTTTCAAATAATTTAGTTAATCTGTTATTTTCCTGAATAGTTGTCATTTTTTAATTTCCCAGGACATTGATTTACGAAGAACATGAAATATATTGAGCGCTAATGAAATTACTAGTTATTTGGCAATATCTGATTATTCGAAATAGATTCAACAATTGGTCATCAAGGAAGTAGTTCCACTATTCAGCGTATCAATTGAAAATTCCATAAAATGAAACTGTTTATTGTGTTTTCTAAGTGGTACGTTTCTTCATCGAGATTTTGTAAGTCTCTGCCATAGTTACCGTAAATACATCAGAACAACAACCAATTATCCATCGGGTAATATAAGAAAATCACAAGGTTAAAGATAAGGCATTGAAACACCTATTTCACTTTGGAGTCCTATAGATATTTCTATATCTTCATAAATGTCAACCAGTTTTAAGTAGACTGGGATTCCCAATTTTATAGTGAATACATTCGGACAGTCTAGAATTTCAACATCTAATATGAATGATTTTCTCAAACTTTTTGGTGAATGCAAAAAATGTGCCACCTGTTGAACGTTTCACTCATTGAAAAAATACAAATTATCGAAGTCGTGTATCTTCCTAGGTAATTCGATATAAAAGACTTTTTCTTAGTATGTCTCTATCTAAATAACCCTTCTATGAAAGCATGATGCAAAGTTGACTATGACATAATATTTTTCATGTGTTGAAATGAAATTTGCTCTTCGGATATTCACATTCTCATTTCTAGTTAATATCTCCTATCGTTCTTATCAGTAACCACAAAGTTGTATCTATATCAGATGAAGCAATCATTTGATTTAACAATATCAACAACGTCTAGTAGAATCATAAAATCAAGCACACACAACAAATATAAAACTGATTATACCTACCTAATTCAAAGTACCTATTTCAAAATAATACGATGTGATGATATATTTATAGTGAGTACATAAAGTCATCCCTTCCATTACATACCAAACAAGTTGTTGAAACATGATATTTTACTTTAATTGGTTTTGAAAATATGAAAATTTTGAATTGAAGGGGTTATATTTTTAGGAGTGATTAATTTTTTGGCAAAGAAAGTTTTTGGCTTTCTACTACTCCATCTGATACAAAAAAAAAGTAGAACTCATGTGAATGATATCTGATTCTTATTCCACAACAAATGTTTGAAATACAAACTGAGTAGAGAAAAGTATCTTCTGTATAATTCAGTGTTCATATAGAAGTATTTGTTTCGAAAGAATTATTTTCTTTCGTGTAAT